AAACGAAAGAAATGGTATGAATGATGGCAAGGGTCTTTAATGTAGTTGCTAAAGCACAGAAGATGATATGCCACTTGATTAGTGGTGCTACGCGAAAAACAACCGTTGCTGGGCTTAAGAGATATTAGGTATGGCGCTGGGTTCCAAGACGAAATGAACAGCCAACAGGAAGACCTTTGAACCGATGACAAGACGATCAAAAGCAACGTAAAATCATAACAGTGCATATGATTTATTGTAGCATCATTTTTCTCTCGTCATTGCTGTAAGGTGACATCGAAAACATAATTGATCTTTAAGAGAACAAAAAACAGTTTTCCATAGCATAGACCAGGGCTCTTCATTGAACAATTTTATCAAGAAATAAAGAAATGTTAGGCTTCGGCCGGAAATTCAAAGAATTCATTAAAGTTTCATAAAAAAAACAGTTTGTTATTGCGAAATCTTCAACTGCGAACTCTGGCAGAGAGAAGTGGTCTAGAGTTTGATTCTGTTTATTGAATAGAGTTTTTGACTACCTGGGGTAACTGGAAGATTGGAAAACTTTGCGTTATTGCAGTAATAACAGTCTGCTGGTTGTTCTTATCCAAGCATATCAGAATAAACATTAAATAACCTTCGTTTAATGAGCAAACCGCGTTTCTTGCCATTAATACTGCACTTGAACAGACTCTGATAATACATATATTTAAATGTATGATTGATTTTTTGTTGATAATTATGCACTTTAGCCAGTCATCTGCAAACGCCGTACAACGGAACGAGAGGCGGGCCCTCTTTGCGATCGCGTTATGTAACTGCTCTGTACTTTACGTTGAGTACAATAACGAGCATTGGTTTTGGCAACGTATCAGCGACGACTGATTCTGAAAAAATCTTCACCATCATCATGATGCTACTTGGATGTAAGTAAAATACATGATTTGGTTTATTCTAATCTTGCGTTGCTCTCTGAGAATGAATAAAAACTGGACTGTGGTCTTAAATTCTTTGGCCCTAATTCTGGCAAGTTCAGATTTTCTTATGAGTAAGTTACCTTACGAAATCTTAGGGTTTTCACAGTCTCACTCACCATTAATTATTTAGAAGAACATTCATGGGAAAGTGTTCATTATTTGTCTTCATTCTACCTTTAGCGGTATAGAAATCTAAATGACAGTGCAGTATATTTTCTTCCATACGGTTCCAGCTTTACTGCCCGCTTCTCGAAGGTGGTTTTACGAAGACCCACTTCAAGCCGGCTGAACACGAATAAGAGACATATGGCAAATCTGAGGTACCCATCTCCACTCACTGTCTACTCAACATACATATTGGTTCGATTTCTAGAAAGAAGCTTGTATTTCCCCTCCTATTGTTGTGGAGTTGTTCCTCTTTGTGTTTTGTATTTTTTACTTTTTTCCTACTTTATAGGATATCCTTGTACGTATTAGCTTGTATATATGTATTGCCCTGGTGGTCTATGTATTAAAGCATAAGTTTGGGTTGACTCTGGAACTCAAATTTCAACAATGAATCCCCTTCACCTGTCAATTATTTAGGTTTTATGCAGCGCAGACCCGCCGTCCTCTTTCTTATAGCAGCCTGCAGACTTTCAGTAAAACCATCGTTTCAAA